GCCTTACAATGTGGGGGTCTCAGCCAATGGGGGCCTTACAATGTGGGGGTCTCAGCCAGTGGGGGTCTCAGCCAATGGGGGCCTTACAATGTGGGGGTCTCAGCCAATGGGGGCCTTAGCCAGTGGGAGCCTTAGAATGTGGGGGCCTTAGCCAATGGGGGCCTTAGAATGTGGGGGTCTCAGCCAATGGGGGCCTTAGCCAGTGGGGGCCTTAGAATGTGAGGGTCTCAACCAATGGGGGCCTTAGCCAGTGGGGGCATTAGCCAATAGGGGCCTTAGAATGTGAGGGTCTCAGCCAATGGGGGCCTTATGTAATGGGGGCCTTAGCCAGTGAGGGTCTTAGGCAGTGCAGGCCTTAGTCAGCAGGGGTCTTAGCATGTGGGAGCATGTGGAGGTCTTAGCATGTGGAGGTCTTAGCAGTTGGAGGTCTTAGCATGTGGAGGTCTTAGCATGTGGAGGTTTTAGCATGTGGAGGTTTTAGCATGTGGAGGCCTTAGCATGTGGATGTTTTAGCATGTGGAGGTCTTAGCCAGTGGGGGCTTTGGCTAGTGGGGGCCTTACGCCTACTTCTTCACTTTCCTGTGTGCGCTTTTTTGGCTGGGGGTGGCTGTCCACGCGGGAGCTTGTGTTCACACGATATTTGGCTGCAGACGCGCATGGTCGTGGTCAGTACATGCATACAGCAGTGATACTCCACCAGACCAACAGAGGGCAGGTGTATTGCAACAAGCACAAATGCAAGCAGTGTATTTAGTTATCAGTCAAGGCTTGGGCAGTATTACGGTAATGAGGCATAACACAGTATTTTGAAATCCTTATGAAAATGTTACCCAGGACCCCCCCCCCCATCCCTTCACTGGGTGAATTTTGTTGCTAAGATTTCAAAGTACTGGAATAGTGCTGGTTTTTAACATGCCGTGCACCTAGATATGTGGATACCTCCGACCTTCCTCATACATCGACAACAACAGCTATTCTTCTTCTGCTCTTTCGTCATTGATCGCTGATCTAAGAAAGTCAGTGCTGCCACCTGCTGGAACTACCTAATCAATTATCTTGCACATGCACGGTTGATGCACTGATGACGAAATTTACGTCATATCCCCTCATCCGCAACCGAGTCTCAGCCAGTGAGGGCCTTAGCAGATGGGGGCCCTATTTGGTGGGGGGCACAGGCAGTGAGGACCACTGGATGCCCAGCACACAGCATTCCTCCGTCAGCATGGAGGCGACAGTGCGCTCCTGCCCTCCTGTGGTTCGCCAACGCCGTAGAAAAGCAGTCAAATAACAGGAAACGTCTGGGGGAATTTGAAAGGTCAGCGCCGATCCAAGAGCGGAGAGACGCCCAGCGGAAGCGGCTGTCGAGCGTAAATTTCGTTAAGTGGCCGGCGCAGTAATAAACGTGCGGATGGGCAGGGGTGTCGGGAAGGATCTGCAGATGCAGCCGCTCTTACAGCCCGGGACCCTCCCTCCGAGTTTTTATCCCGGGGGAGAGGAGGCGGATCTGGGGATCGGGGATGGGTGTGGGTCCAGGGAGCTTGTGTGTGTGTGTATGGTCATGTACACTATATGGACAAAAGTACTGGGAGACACCTTAATTATTGAATTCAGGAGGACTGTGCCCCAGTGCACAAAGCAAGGTCCATACAGACATGGTTGAGTGAGTTTGGTAAGAACTTGACTGGCCCACACACAGCCCTGACCTCAACCCATCTAACACCTTTGAGATGAACTAGAATGGAGATCGAGAGCCAGGCCTTCACGTCCAACATCAGTGCCTGACCTCACAAATGCTCTTCTGGATGAATGGGCAGAAACCCCCACAGACACACTGCAGAATGTTGTGGAAAGCCTCCCAGAAGAGTGCCAGCTGTTATATCTGCAAAGGGGGGGGACTCCATACTGATGCCTATGATTTAGAATGGGGTGTCATAAAAGTTCTGGTAGGTGTATTGGCCAGGTGTCCCAATAATTTTGTCCACATAGTGCGTAATCTGCTCTGGAAAAAAATCCACTGCATTTTTCAAAAATCTGCATTTTTAAATCCTGGTTTAATCCTGGTTCCGCTGGCAGAGGCTACACTGAGTGGCAGGCTGCTTCCAGGCTCAAAGTTTCTAAGACAGCAGTAAACAAGAACAAGGTGAAGCAGGAGACACTGGGAACGAGCAGAAACCAGCCAGGTAGAGGGCAGAATCGACTTTCTAATGCCAGAGATGACCGTCAACTTGTCCAGCGGTGCCTCATAAATCAGAGGATGACCTCAAGTGACCTTCAAAAGGAACGGGAAACATTAAGTGCAGGTGTGAAGTGCACTGCTAGGACAGTTTGTATCAGGCTCCTAGAAGCAGGACTGAAGTCCCATAAAAGAAGGAAGAAGCCCTTCATTAATGATAAGCAGGGAAGAACCAGGCTGGAGTTTGCAAAGGCACATAACCATAAATTGAGAAATGAGTGAAGCTAAAAATATTGCTGTGGTCTCTGACATTGTGGGTAGGTGGTAAAGTTGCCATTGTTGGGTTTAGGGCTTTTCCCCATCGAAATGAATGAAGAGTCCCCACAAAGTTATGAATATGTGGACTGTGTGTCTGTGTCTGTTGGGGAGGAGTGAAAGCAGGACAGAGGCCTGGAGGAGATGAATCCCACCCCAGATCCTGTCTGCAGGTCAGCAGCGAAGCTGTTTTTTCCCTCCAGGAAGTGGAGGACGGGGGCGGAGCGGGGGGG